GGGGGGGGGGTCTCTGGACATCTGTCCAGCCAGGCTACAGCAGGGAGTACAACAGGAGGTGGTTGGCCACAGCCTCTCACACCCAGTTTCTGGCCTCCACTGGAGGGTGTGGGGCTTGGCTTGGGCCTTCACTGGGAGGGGGGGAGGGCGGGGCAGTGCTGCTATCACTGCCACTGCAGCTGGTGCTCCAGCTGCCAGGCATCCTCTTCCCACTGCACCTCCTCTGCCCTGGCCTTGTGAAATGGCTGCCCCCAGGCCTCACAGATGTTATGCAGCACACAGGCTGTGACAATGACACAGGGGATGTTGTCCTTGGCCACTTGAGGTTGGAAGTGAGCGTTCACTGGTGTCCCTTGAGGTGCCTGAAGGCACACTACACCAGGGTAAGAGTCTGGCACCACTGAAATTGGGCCTGGTGGAGGTCCAGCTGACTGGTGTAGGGCCACATGAACCAAGGCAGGAGTGGATAGGTGGAGTCCCCATTGAGAAGGGCCAGGGCGACTATGGCACCCAGCTGACAGTCCAGCACCTCTGGTGTGAAGCAGCTGTTCTGCACCAAGGCTGTCAGGGTGGAGTTGTAAAACATATGGGCATTGTGTGCACTCTTCTCCCAGGCAGCACTCATGTTTGTGAAGGTGCTTCAGTGGTCAATGATGGCCTGGGGCACAGCGAAGTGAAAACCCCTCCAGCTCCAGGAGCAGTATCCTGGAGCTCGTGGAGCCTCACTGGGGCAGGCAGTGGCTCCTCCCTGATGCGGGGGAGCGGAGCACTTCCCCGGAGTCAGGGAGCCCGTGCCAGGCTCTGGCTCCAGCCCCCAGCTCCAGCTCCTAGCCCCCGGCCCCAGCCACCACTCCCCAGTTCCTGGCTCCCAGTTCCAGCCCCTGGCTCCCAGCCCCCAGCAGTAAGTGTCCCACACCAGACCGAGGCGGCACACTCATGGATTGCTGCTCCTTAAAGGGAACATTGCTCCCACCCCCAAATTACAATGAGACAAATCAACTACAACAATACAAGCTGCCATAGTTTAAGAGCCAGTGGGACTGTAGCCTACCAACTCTGTATAACCATCAAATACAGGTGGGAAATGACTGAGGGTGCATCTACATGTCACCCTACGGTGATGTAGTGAACATGTGAGTCTACACATGATCGTCAGCTATGTCACCATAACAGCACGCTCCCCAGTTCTAGTGCACTGCTATGGTGATACAGCGGTGAAATCTAACTGCGCCACATGTATAGCTCAGTAACTTCCAAGACGAAGTACTAAAGAATGGCACTGTAGCAAAGTCACCATATGGCAATGTGTAGACGCACCCTGAGGGACACTGCAGAAGTGGCACAGAAGGCCTTGCCTAGGAAAACAACAAGAAAAAGAATCTTTGGGAATTGTGGGGAGAGGAGTTTTTTATGTTTTGTTTAAGTATTGTCTTGCAGAAAAAAAAGGAAACTGCTCTGAAACAGATTTGGGTATTATTGAATTCTTTCTGGGCTGGTTTCCATAATTCACTGAATTAAAAAGAATATTCACAATTCAAACCAGCAAATTCTGCTACCTTCCTTCTCTGCCATTCTTATCACTCAGTTTATTATCCTAATAATATGCACTGATTTTCTCAAGGCCCTTTAAAATGCTATTTGACTTTGATACAGAATGCTAAATGCAAAACCAAACAACTTTTGGCTTGGTGTAAATAGAAAACCTGTACATTGTATAAAGAACAAAAAGTTTGTCTTTCCTATGCTCCTCCTCTTAGGTCTTTCCTAAGTACAATGGATATCTAATAGTTTCATATTTTCACAGTTTCTAGGGTTGGAAGGGACCTGAGTAGATCATCTAGTCCGACCCCCTGCCATGGCAGGAAAGAGTACTGGGGTCAAACAACCCCAGCAAGGTGTTCATCCAGCCTCCTCTTAAAGACCCCCAGGGTAGGAGCCAGCACCACTTCTCTTGGAAGTAGGTTCCAGATCCTAGCCGCCCTGACCGTGAAGTAGCGCCTCCTGGTATCTAGCCTAAACCTACCCTCTGCCAGCTTGTGACCGTTATTCCTGGTCACTCCTGGTAGTGCTTGGGGAAACAGGGACTTCCCCACGGCCTGCTGGTCCCCTCTGACTAGTTTGTAACAGGCCACTAGATCCCCCCTCAGCCTTCTCTTGTGAAGGCTGAACAGGTTCAGGTCCCTTAGCCTCTCCTCATAGGGCCTACCCTGCTGACCCCTGATCATGCGAGTGGCCCTCCTCTGGACCCTCTCGATGCTGTCCACATCCCTCTTGAAGTGCGGCGCCCAGAACCGAACAAAGTACTCCAGCTGCGGCCTGACCAATGCCACATAGAGGGGGAGTATCACCTCCTTGGACCTGCTTGAGATGCATCTGTGGATGCATGACAAGGTACGGTTGGCCTTCCTGACTGCATCCCCACACTGCTGGCCCACGTTCATCTTGGAATCAATGATGACTCCAAGATCCTTTTCCGCCTCTGTACTGACAAGAAGGGAGTTCCCCAACCTGTAGGTATGGTGCTGGTTGTTCCTCCCCAGGTGCATCACTTTGCACTTCTCGTTGTTCAATCC